AATGCAAATGCATTACCATTTCTACGGAACAAGTCGCCACATGTTCCAACCCCCAACCTGGAGGGCCAGGAGACTGTGTTCGTCAGACCTCTAACCATTGACCAACCTGGTATGAGAGACTCTGTGAGTGTCGCGAGACACTCTCCAGTATAGCTCAATGGATCGCTGAGGTGCGCAAACCTTCACACCACGGTAAGAGTCTGTCTCTTCGTGACAGAGCCTTTCGAACATCTTTGGACATTCCGGTGGTGCCACTCTAGTGTGCCCCAAGACCAGAGAGACCTTCTGCTCACGGTAAGGTCCAGTCTCTTCGTGACAGAGCCTTTCGAACATCTTTGGACATTCCGGTGGTGCCACTCTAGTGTGCCCCAAGACCAGAGAGACGTCTCTTCTGCTCAGTGGGAGATTCCAGTAATCTTTGTAGTGGTGGATTTAGATTTCACTAAAATCGTGTTTCGGCTAGGTGCTGGGTGCGACTGCTGACACCCATCAAGAACATCTAAATTAGCGCCAAAACTAATTACATGATTTGCGGTACCATGTCTGACAGCCATCCTGCAAAGCATTTAGATTATCCTGATGATTAAGAGATAGTCTTCACTTAAAGTATGAAGTTGTGGTCGTGTTTGTATCTTTTGTGGGATGAACGTATTTCTTCCATCTGTGGAAGCAATAAAATGATGCGTCCAACTAGGCTAGCTTCCTGTGGACGCTGACCACTTTACTACTGATGGCGTTCCAAGACCTATGTATTACTCTAGTTCGTGTCTTTCTATAAGTTTGCTTCAAGCCCTAAATGCTTGTATCCATTTGGCTCTTTGCAGTACTTTTAGCCCCTAAACACATCAAAACCCTTTCAACGGGCACACATCTTCACTCCAAACCTTCGATCGACCGGCCAGATTCTCTGAATGCCTTGTTGGTTCAAGTTTTATTGACAGCGTTCGCCTGTTCACCTGACCTAAACACAGTCCACCCCGCGCGTGTTCAAGGAGCTGTTCTCCTGTCTCTATCAAGTTTGATGAATTCCACCAGGACCCTACACTTGTTACCCGTTCGGCGAGTTGCAGTACGTTCATCCGCATCCTTTGAACTAACTGTTTTTTTGTGTACTCTTATTGTTCAGTTAGGGACGTTCCCGTTGTCATTTGTTTCGCTTTCAGAAATTCCTGGTTCCATTCACTCGCATACTGGAGCGTCCGTTTCGGATCAAGTCACCCTATGATAAGTGAGTGCTTTTCGTAAGTCCGTCAGAATGGACGTTTTCCATTAGGTGGGAAACTGAGATCACTGAAAGTAGGTTTCCTGTTCTTCAGTATTTTGGATGATTGACGATTTTTACGTTTATTTCTGGTGCGTCGAAGTTGCATAATGCTCAGTATTACCAGCATCAGCGTCGACGCTGACGCTTCACTGCCTTGCAACCGCAAAGCGTATATTTGGAAAAGCCATAGAACTGGACTTTGGAAACTGTCGGCCGGGATTAATAGTTATTCGTTCTCTGGAATATGAGTATAAAGACAATACGAACATGATTGCCATCGTGTGGTGGAATGAATACTGGAATCTCTGAGATTCCACGGGTGACCATTTTGTCCCCTATCCCCATTGACCATCAAATGAATGTTTTTCTAATCAGGTTCTTCATGTCGAGTTTTCGTTGTCATAGTAATCCTTCGTCTTATGAGGCCCCACATGAGTGATCGATGGACCTCAAAGCTGCGAAGTCGATGTGCAGTCCACATGAGCCTTGACAGTCAAAATTTGGTTGTGAGTAGGGTGCTAACGATCGCAGGCTGGGAAGTAGGATTAGGATCCATTTGGTGAGTATGGTTTTGGCCGTGGTCCTTGAGGAATTTCTTAAATGAAACTCTAGACACGATCATGACGTCGTGGAACATTGTCTTTATCGTTAATGTCATTGTCTATTAGAAAATGGCCATCACTGGGTCTGACTGCTTGTTATTGTTATCTGTTCATATTAATGTGGTCAAGTGAAGAATCGCTCATCTCAGTTTTATGCTACATGTGGCACGTGCTTTGCTAATGCCTAGTTGATCCAACGCCCGTTTTCCGTTGGCTCTATTTGCCGCGATCTCCTGGACGAATGGGTAGTGGTCTCCCTCTTACTTGATCTTGGGCAGCCTAAAGAATTTAACACCCAAAAATGGAGCTTACGATCACCGTCACATCAGCACTACATACTGGTCCTGGATTGTTATGTTGCCATACGGGAACAAAACCTTAGCAGTGGAATAGAGAGGGATGCGGTGCGGACTAACTGCAAAGAAAATCCCTATGTTTAAAAACTGGGTAAGTATTGAAGTGCATTGCGACTCTGGCCTCCGCGAGATTCGATTTTGCGCGAGATGAAGCTACAGTTTCTGAAACCACTTTAAATACATAGTTATCCTGTAACCACGCGCGCTTCAAGGAACCACACAATTTCAATCAGTCATGAAAATGTGGTTGGTCGCTTTGAGGTTGCCATTGTTATCTTGCTATTGACTACTCGTAGTATGTATCAACACACATCCCATATCAGTCTAACGGGGATACTCACGAAGTCTTCCTGATCGTTTTGTCGACAGCCGTTTGTTTGTATGTGTTGGGTTTATATTCTTTTTCTGCTCTTCTGCAGCTACCCTTCTTTCACGGCTTGTGCGAAAATTTCCCTGATAACGATTCTTCGTTCATGGTCTGGTGAGTGCGTCACTACAGTTTGGGTTTGTAGCATAGCTCTCTTTTGTCGGCGTTCTTTTCTGCCTTCTAGACTTCCTGTACTCACTGTTATTATTGTGCACGCCCGCCTAATGTTATAATCAAATGTCCAGGCTGTTGTTACTTTGCCGCGTTTGGACTGAGTATCCCCGAGTTTGCCGCTAGTCTTCATAACATGCAGCTGAGATGCTGGTCACATAGAGAACACCCCGTACTGCACTCTTCCAGCGGCAGTTTATAAGCACTGTCATCACCATCATCATCATCATCACCAGGGACAGCATGACATCTGTGTTTAACACCGATGCTTCGCTGCCATACAGTCATGATTTATTCGAAGGCCTTATTGTGAAGAAAATAATAAAGGTGGGTGGGAAGGGACTTAGGGCTAGCTTACCACAATCATTCCGAGGTGACTACACCTCCAAACACTCAATCAGGCAATCTGGATGGAAACTGACAAGAAGAACACCGTTGACATTTCAGCAACCACTTCTTGCAGCGTCTCCAACCGCGCGCATTGGGGGTCACGCGGTCCCTTTCCTGAGGGGCGAGTATCACCAAGAGCACTCAAAAACAGCACTCTCTTCGCAATACATGGCCTAACCAACGCAGTTTCTGGTGCTGGACATATTCTTTAATGGAAGTCCCCGTTGTAGAACTCGCTTTCTAGTAGCCTCGTTATGGATTCTTCGACACCAACCCACACGAGACAACTGTTATCGAACGCCTGGAGACTCCTTAGTTGCATTGCTCGAACAGGCCAAGTCCCACAGCCATACAATAAAATAGCCGTACTGTAGCATGATACACAACGCCCTTGAGATTCAGGGGTATACCGCCTTGACGCAATAGGTGTCTCAAATTGGCGTAGGCGACCCAAGCCTTGTAGATTCATGCAGTGATCTCATTTGTCACACTACAATCGGAACTTATACAACTTCCACGGTACGCAAAACGCCCCACATATTCAGGTGGCTCTCTAAGTTGTAGCTGGCGTATTGAGTCACTGCATGACCAGGAGGATGATCTTACACTTCGTGTATGCGAAGTGGGTATCTGATACCTTAACTATCAGGGCAACGTAGTCGGGTATTGCACAAATGCAACACCGTTGACCAACTCTGCCATCTGTCGTCATGCCTGGGCCAGTGAACGTCTCTGAGCACCACGCGTACACACACTTATTATGTTCCCTTGATTGGTGGCGAAACGTTGGCAACATTTGCAAATTCGAAAGATCCTAACAGCCACCTGATCGACAACCAATAACTGCAGGTTCTTTAGTGAAAACGATTGGCTCTCGAAAACATCTTTAACTGTCGGGTTCTACACTCGCGAATGAAGTTGGTGTGACCGTGGGATCTAGCTGAGTCTCTGGCTTGTGGTGCCCTTCAAGTGGAAGTGCTACACAAAGTCCGCTTCGTAGTTCGTTTGGAGCGATATCCAAGAGGTCGAAGTGCTTTGCTTGATACAAGACCGCGTGTTGCGCAGACATCCCAGTACTAGTTTTGCTTTCGAAGCTCAACGAGATATTCAGCTGAGATCCCTCTGTTGATGTTAACGTGATTTGCAAACAACAGTTTAGTTTCAATTAATTGTGATTTGCTGTCCCAAGGGTAGTGGATTGTGAAGAAGTTCTTATGGACCCAACTAAACGTTGAATTGGTCTCCAATTACTTGTTTTGGTCGTCTGTTCTTGTTATTGCAGGTTACGTTATCGGTCATTTTTATTCTCTTGTCTACCGTAGGGCTTTTGTACTTCCTGAACGAAGGTCTTCCTTGCCTTCAAGCCCTCATGTATAGCTTGGCCGTTGGCACCACAGAAATGCGGGTGAGTCAGTCTGACAAACTCTGGGCAATTGTCAACTACGTGGCGTCGTCTGCAACGCTTTTCACAATTCCATTTAGTGACGCTTTCATGAGTACCAAAGTTATCCGCATAACTTTGTAGCAATAAATCGCAACAAAGTGACTCATGAAAGCCCAAACCAGCGACAAAAAACCATACCTCAGAGTGTTTGCATCTTCGGAAATGTACTAACGCTTACTTATGTTCCTGATACGACACGAGCGATCGCTCTCTCAGGAGTGATTCTCCCATGTGGGTTTTTATACTTCCACAAGAAACTCCAAACTAAGCTTACCACAGCGAGTGATCTCAGATGAGGCTTTTCTTCCGCTTCATCTTCATTAGCTAGATACCCTTAGAGGCTTCCTTACCCGTATTCGCGCTCTCCCCGTTTGAATTGCCTCATGGACGGTTAAATTGGTGGTGACGTAGACTCTTACGATCAGTTCCTTCCGAAGTTCGATCTATTTCGCACAGCCTGAATGAACGTGAGCATCATTTGGCATGTGCTTCCCACGTAAAAAGTGTAAACTGCCATTTGTCAGACCATACACCGTATAACTGGTGATCCGTCGACTGTGCACACAAGCTCATTTTCCCGGAGTGCCGCTTCTGCTACCGATTAAACATCAGAAAGCAAAATTACTCGTCCGGTCGCGGCATTTTTATGCCTGTGACAGCGGTATGGTTTGGAGTGCATTTCCATTGTGCTGTTCCATCTATATGAATACCAATCATGGCATTCAGCGATTTTTCATAAGTACTGAAGACCTTACCTGCATTCCTTGTGGAAATTGGCTGAAATGACTCATTCATGGTGCTTAGGCTAGGTTGGTGTTGGTTCCCGCGAATACCATACACCGTATAACTGGTGATCCGTCGACTGTGCACACAAGCTCATTTTCCCGGAGTGCCGCTTCTGCTACCGATTAAACATCAGAAAGCAAAATTACTCGTCCGGTCGCGGCATTTTTATGCCTGTGACAGCGGTATGGTTTGGAGTGCATTTCCATTGTGCTGTTCCATCTATATGAATACCAATCATGGCATTCAGCGATTTTTCATAAGTACTGAAGACCTTACCTGCATTCCTTGTGGAAATTGGCTGAAATGACTCATTCATGGTGCTTAGGCTAGGTTGGTGTTGGTTCCCGCGAATCAATGGCGATCGGGGGTAATTTTTATCTTCTGTTTGGACTACTCATGAGTAGCGTGATTTAAATGTTTAACTGCGTCTTGCTTCCTTGCTGCTCGCTCCTCCGGTTTCCGCTCCTGCCCAAGGTCTGTTTATCCCCTAGTAACAGGTGTCACGATTTATTGCCTGTTCGTTTTCACCTCCAAGTTCGTGTCATTTCTGTCTACTTGAGAGTGTCCGCTCTAACTGAAAAATGGAGCAGCCGGGGATCGAACTCAGCTATCCTCGAGTGGTTAATGTGATGGAATTTAGCAGTGCACTAATTGTTGGAGGTTGTTGGAGATGCTGGCATGGCATACATTTACTGTTTTTGAAACATTGTATCCGTCCAACAAGCACGTCTTGTCTGTAGCTATCGCCTGAAAAACTAGGCATCCTTTCCATTTTCCCCGTTGTGTTTTTGATGCAAGGAATCGTTGGGATAATCTTTTTCTCTCCTGCCCTGTTACTCTCCACAAAGCCGATAAAGCATCAGCGAGACTTGTGTTTTGAGCTCAGTGTATGTTCTGCTAAGGTTGGTCCCAGTCAACCTCTCAAACTCTTCTCGACTATTCCCTGGTGGCTTAAAGTGCCACGGACCGCTTATATCTTTTCTTTTGTATATTTATATTCTTGTAACAGCTTTTTTTGTCTACCGGACGCCTGTCTTCATATTTTTTCTATTAGGATCAGATACTCGAGGTGCTGTTTGGCCTCTTCCCTACTCTGCCTCTTCCACATCCGTCTGTTAAATACATGGAGCCGGCGATTTTAGCTCTCACCGAGGCCTTGGCGAGCTGTGCTCCATTCACCCTTCCCATGCAGGCTCCTATGGATGACCTCTGCTCTGTCCTACAGCACCACAGTATTGCTCCGACACAGTCGAATCTGCGGCAGCCTTCTACTGTATGCCCACCAACTCCCCACTACCAAAGGCAGTCTCCTCAAACTGCATGCGATCTCGAGGGGGGCTTTGTTGCGGCCGAAGGATGTCGCATTTTTTCCAAGTTCGAAGTGCCCAATTGTACTTCAGTTGATCTGACGGACAGCTATACCGCATTGTTGCTCGCTACGCTTGTGCAAGCTGGTTTATATGAAGTAAGCACAGTAAATCCATACAGTTTTTGGTCAGTTATTACTAGCTCTTCCTTCACAGAGCGTTGCCTTTGCTTTGCCTGCAATAATCTCTGTACATTTATTTCGGGCTTCGTCTAACTACTCGATGTTTTTCATTCTGTTGAAGTCAGTTTTGAAATTCATGTTTCTATATTTATCAAGAAGTCTAGACAAACTGATGCGTAGACCTGGGATAACCGTAATTACTCGATGTCTACCAACAGGGGATGTTTTCTGTTCGCGTGCATGGCAGACACCCTGTAGAGGGCGTATCAACTTTTCACTTTGACTGAGTTCACGTTACAAGATAAAATACACGACTCAAAAATCTACTTTCAGCCTGGCCCCTAACAACGATGATCGCATAATACAAGTTTATACCCGTAGGGTACGGTGTTCAACGTTGCAATGTGGGTCATTTCGCTTTACTGACGCCGGTCGTTTCCCCCTTGACTGGGCAGGAATGTGCGTGCAACAGTGCACGAAAGCGTCCGAAGCGCTTTTACCCATGCTAATGTATGGTAAGCTCGAACGGGTTGTATTGTTGTTGAAGTTCACATTGATTTCTTGCATTTGAATGAGTGAGTTCACCGGATGGACTGTAAACTAACAACTAGGAAAACGTCCCAAGGGGAAGAGCTGAAGACAGGATTAGGTACCCCGACCTGTCATCATCACCATGGACAGCATGACATCAGTGTTCAGCTGCCGTACAACCATGATTCATTAGAAGGCCTTAATGTGAAGAAAATAATGAAGGTGGGTGGAGAAGGCACTTAGTGCTAGCTAACCACAATCATTCCGAGGTGCCTACACATCCAGACACCTACTCAGGTGATCTGCTCACGGAGATTCTGACACGACCTTGTGGAACACATTGTGACTACCCTATTAATACAGTTGTACTAATTTCCCTTTGTCTCCATAAAGGGCTGTGTAGAGCTACCGTACCTTCTGATATACCACAGTGAGCGGAGCAGGAAGCCAAGGGACCGATACAGAGTTGCACGATCGTACACCAGGCCACAACAGGTTTCTGATTGATGTCATCGGCGTTCTTGTTGTTAGTTACCACTCAGATTGCCGGATTAGGTGTCTGGATGTGTAGGCACCTCGGAATGATTGTGGTTAGCTAGCACTAAGTGCCTTCTCCACCCACCTTCATTATTTTCTTCACATTAAGGCCTTCTAATGAATCATGGTTGTACGGCAGCTGAACACTGATGTCATGCTGTCCATGGTGATGATGACAGGTCGGGGTACCTAATCCTGTCTTCAGCTCTTCCCCTTGGGACGTTTTCCTAGTTGTTAGTTTACAGTCCATCCGGTGAACTCACTCATTCAAATGCAAGAAATCAATGTGAACTTCAACAACAATACAACCAGTTCGAGCTTACAATACATTAGCATGGGTAAAAGCGCTTCGGACGCTTTCGTGCACTGTTGCACGCACTCTGAATTGGGTACGGGAATCGGCACTCTATTCGACAAACGATGATTGGGAGTGCGCGATATATGACCTAACCAACGGAGCTTCTGGTGCTGGACATATTGTGTAATGGAAGTCTCTTGCACAACTTGCTTTTTAATAGCCTTGTTAGGATTCTCCGACACCAACCCACACGAGCGATGTTGGTGAAACGATTGTTGTCGAGCACCTGAAGACGTCAGTTCCGTTGCTCGAACAGGCCAACTTTCACAGCCATGCAATAAAATGAGAGTAATGTTATTCGTGAATTTCATGATTGTACGAGGGCTGGGATACTGCCAGGTCGCCCACACCTTGACAGGAGGAAGGTTAGGGTCCTCAACCAAAGCCTTTTGCTCAAAAGCCTAACCGCAAGGCAGTGGTATTTGGCGGTGCTAGAACAACGCCATACGTATAAGCGACCCACGATTCTAATATTACTGGATTTCCGAGGCGCATTCGATTTGGTTGATCAATCTGTTGTTCTTGAGACGCTTGCCTACCAAGGAATGCCCCGGAAGTTTGTAAACATAATACGTTCTTTGTATTCTCGGACTTCCGAACGTGTGAGAGTGTACGGAGAGCTCTCCAAAA